TCCCAGTGGTTTTGTTGCACGTCTGGGCCGGTCATGCGCAGAAACCAGTTTTGGCAGTCTGACTCGGCTTCGGCGGCGGCTACATCGGTGCTCGCGCTAACTACTTGAGCCTCGCCTCACCATGCTTAACCTCAAAATCCTTAATCGTTCGTACTACTATGATGATCCTCAAGTAAAACCATTTTTGTCTTGCGATCTCAGCCATGATATGATAAAAAAAGGTGAGGTGTAAAAAATCAACCCTCACAGTGTAAATCTGTTTCTGGTCTTCAACGTACCGTCATAGAAAATGAAGATGAGTCGTAGACATGACCAATGTGTTAATGTTGAATGGATTATTCGTTTATCATCAAATTTTACGTTTTGTTATTATTTATGACATTATAACGAGTGTAATGAAAATGAGGTGAAGCATTAAAATTTATGATATTCTTTAACAAATTTTACGTTTTGTTATTATTTATGACATTATAACGAGTGTAATGAAAATGAGGTGAAGCATTAAAATTTATGATATTCTTTAAAGCTATTAGGCTAGGAAATGTAGGCGTTTAAGAACATCTCCATATCTTGTCATACCTATCAATTTAAGACATAGTCAATACAGAAACAGGGACAATAATCATGATACATTATGTGTAAAAATGTGGTCCATTGCTATTCAAGTAATGCATAACATTTTGATAATATTGTTAAAGTATTCATAATGCTGGATTAAATCAATGTATACTTTTAGTATAAAATATTATTTACAATAAGCTATGGTTGACATGCCTGGACTACAGTCCTTCCCTTCCCTTCAGTGTAATTTACGTCTTGAATGTCAAAAGAGCATTGTTTTATTTTACTTTTTGATGGAGGGTACTAATTGGACATATTAAACTATAATAACAGCGTTTTGATACACGAGGCCTGTCTTTGCCTCTGAATGAATCACATTTTTATCTTAAAGTGCGTCGATTCTAGATCAAGTCATGAGTGTTGCAACCCATACAGAACGCCATCTCCTTTCACACGAATCCTTACCTTCAGACCAGGCAGATCATGTCGTGCTGGATGGAAATTAACCCGGATTGGATCCCAAGTTGCTTTCATTTCAAGACACAATCACTTTGCTATCAAATGTGGCAGAATACATCATTCTACCATAACAATCAGTTCCATATTTAAGTGTGACTTTGTCATCCTGAAAAGCAAAAACTCTTTGTACCTTCTGAGTCTGGACTTTTATTTGATCCTCTTTCATTTAATGTCTTGAAATCCCACTCCTGATTTTTGACACGGATTGGAGGAAGAAACGAATATTCCTATTCATCGTGCTTGGAGAAATGTCCTTTGTTGTGGATCAAACTACTGGTTTGTCTAGAAACATTCTAACTAGGTGTACAATGCAGTTTTCTGCTTGCAATATTGAGCGGAGCTAGCATTTTAATCCAATACTTACCTAGAGTCGATGTTAAATCTGTTTCTCGTAAATGAGATATATACAGGGTGGCCGAAAAGTCCCTTTACACCAAAGGTAAATTCAATTAGTAGATCACATAGATATCTTTATGTGATTAACACCATAGAAATCTATTTTTATCAGAAATTTACTGTGGCCTTCACCAAGTGAACATCATTTTTACTCCAAAACATCGGCATGCATACCTCAATTTTCTTGGCAAAGCAAGCATTTTCTTTGACTCGACTCCAAGTTCGCTAGCTCATTCGTTTCAGCATGCAACGGTACAATGAGTTTTTATAACCACTATGGAATGGAAGTAAGTTACAAGTACTCAAAGTCAATGATACGTCGGGTTCACGTAAACAAATTGTTTACTTGCAGTATCCAAACTCATTGGTACATTTGGCTCACGTAAATTAATTATCTACTTGCAGTATCCTAAGTCGATGGTTCAATTTGATTCAACTAAATGGAGTGCCTATTTGGAGTATTTAAAGTCAATGGTGCATCAGCCTAATCCCGGCGACCCTAATTATTGGTTATACATTTTCGTTGTAAATTATGCTCAATGACATTAATACGATTGTTCTTCCCTTTTTCTCTGTACGGTATTTGTAATGTGCTACTTTAGATGATTCGTTGCCTGTTTACCTTTTTATTGTTATCTCGCAAATAATTTCATGGCGACCAATTAACCCATAAGGCCCATGTTAAATTTCTAAAAGTTTTAATTCTCGTAGGGAAAAGCCCTGAGGTCCGATTTGTACCATTTTAGATTTATACCTTCCCCTGGTTGGTTACTATGACTGTGCTAAATTTCGGGCACATCGCTTTAGCCGTTCAGGAGGAGTATTTGTAAAACAAAAGCAGGAGTGTAGCTTCGCTTTGCTCCGCTCGATGAAGTCTGGGGAACCCAAAGTAAGTCCTCCTTGTAAGAGAGGTCTGTCTTTTTGAAGAGATTCTAGCAAAGTGAGATTTAATCATGAGGCAAGTCAAACTCCCGAATACTTACTACTATAGGTTTTACCTAATCTAACCTACCTTAACTGTTTTAAATGGTTCTAAACTGAACCTAGCTGTCCCTGATCATTGGGTTTTTAATAAATCGTTGATAAAGAAACGATTGTTTGGTCTTATTCAGTAACAAAACTGCATATGCTTTTTACTGAATTCTACACTCATCCCTCACTCATTTCAGGTTAAAATACTCAGAACTGCTTCCCTGTCTTTATGTGACAGTGAACATGGCAATCATGATCTTCGAAATCCCCTCAAACCCTGTCATTCCCATAGGTTGTGCGATATGCTAAAGACCGTTTTAGTTCATGTGGCTCTGATAAGCCCTTATGTAAAGCAGGTCAATACACTTACGAAGAGTGGACTGCGAAGAATGGTTACCATCGCATCTCGACTATAGTTCTTCTAAATGACTCGATAACCTTGAACTGGTTATGACTAAAACTGCCGGCTAGGCTCATCAGTTGCAGCATCGGTGAACGTGAAAGGCCAAGGTTCTAACGGTCCGAACCTTCTCACAGTAAATAAACTGTTTACCAAGGGCCCTGCTTCGGCATGATTTCGCTCGATCAGGACCCACCAAACATTGATATCATGTGTCTGTCAACACAGAAACCCCCCATTGGTACGAACTGATATTGGGATCCAACCCGGCGGATTAATGAAAGCATGGTTGGTTTTTAAACTTAAAGTGCAGAGTACAGTGAGGGTTATTCCGGGGGCTGTGTTGGTATCCTTTGTATGTAATAAAGCACCTTCTACAGAAAAACTTGGGTTTGAAAGCTCGTGCATTTCTGACTCATGTAAAAATATTAACATTTTGTCAAATAGCTGTACGGAATGGGTGATTCCACAATAATGGATTCCGGATTAGGAAGAGGTAGCTTATTGATATAATAAGGGATAGGTCAGTACTGTAGGATTCACAAAAAGCCAGACACAGTATATGGCTTTAAAAAAAGACACAACCAACCAAACAGCATTCACACAAATTAGAATGAAAGAAAGGTTATCCTGACAACCTTCTATAAGCAATTTAAATTTTACATTAAATAAGTGTTGCGTTAGCTATATCTTGACGTCGTATGGAAGCACCTACGATATGATTTCCAAACGTAAAATCAAAGCCAACAATAATCTAATTCCAACGAATACAAAATAACAATTTAGTTAGTCGGCACATTCTGTAGGCATACGACGTAGGCCTACAGTGAAATTGAGGCTGGGGGTTCACGGTTCCCATCCCAGTACTACCACCTCAACAGTTAAATATCTGTGTTGCCCATTATGTTACTGAATCGGCTCAACAAGCCAAAGAAGGAAAAGGGAATTCAAGAGTTATCGCCCTTGTAAAAGACTTGTCTGTAGGTCTCACGGAATGTTTCCATACGTCCTAAGATTTTATTTTGAGTACATATCGACTGTAATAATGCCACAGCTTCACTGTTCAACCACAAGACTTTGCTATGTCAATAACCACTATGAGTAGTGTTTATAATTTGAGAACTATACGCCTGACTAGAAAATGACCTACTATCCTTGAAAAGTAAAGATACAAGATGTATTATGTAAGAACTCGTCCTCCAAAACATAATAACTGCTATCCAGTAACTCTTGTAATCAACTATCTCCTACATTAGAAACAATTGTACAAAGCCTGGTAATGATTGTACGGATATCCTCTTGGTAGCCAAGCTCATATTAAAGACAGAGGAAGCAAGGAGCGTGCAGCGACCTCCGAACTCTCATTACAATTTGTATGGTCCTAGAATACACCCTTGCGGTACGCCGCCGTCGCCAATCGTAAGGTCGACGCTACGCAACAACAGTCGCGTTTTGCGGTCAGATGTCAACCAAATGTGACAGTCTCACTATAGTTCCTTTCTTTTATTATTGATTTGGTAAGTGATAAGTTTACAAAGTCCTAATTAGTTGTGTAATATGCTAATGGAAATAGACCTTACTAATATAATGCAACAAAAATATAAGTGTTCTTATCATAAAGAATTATTTATTTAATTAACGGTATATTATTGGGTACATAATAAATAGTGAATATTACTATTGATTTATTAAATTAAGGTGATAACGATGGATTTTAACTTCACTGTAAATTAACCTACTAAATAATAATATAGTTTAAAATTAAATTAACAAATTTCAAAACCCTCGAAGTTAGCAACGTTTTATAAGATTTGTTCAACGCACCAGTTTTTGTAATGATACAATATGTCACGTTTTTTTTACTTTATGATGAACATTGTGTTAATTATAGTAATCTCTCTGTGAAGGAAACAATATAAAACATTGTTATAATAACAAATAATAAACCCTCATGTTGAATCTTCTACAACATATTTGCTGTAAAAAAATATTCGCACAACATTAATTTAATAGTCATACTGGAATGTTTTATTCTTAAGTAAGACATAATCATGAACATAAAATTTTTTACTCGTACAGTATAATCACATTTAATATGTAATCTTCCACCGAATTAAGTCTTTGTTAATGTTATAGTTGAATTCTGTTTCAGGGCGTACAACATATTTTACCACTGGCAGCATCTACGTTTGTAAGGTAAGAAACACATAATTATTATAAAATGTGTAGAATTTTATTTTATTTTATTTTATTTTAAACGTACTTGTAGACTAATTTAGGATAGAAATAGAAAACCGGTTTGGTTGATAAAGTTTTTAATCCATTGTACACTTTTAAATATTTTTCATAGTTAATTTATAGTTATTGATATTTAAATTTATTTATGTCAACTTAACCTTAGTCGGATATCAGTTAGGGCAATATTTGTTATTTTTGGGAATATTACGTTTGAAAGTAGATACTGTATGTATGAGGAACTAAATACAAGTTCACGTTGTTTTGTCTGTGTAGAAAGAAAAAATGTTTTCATGCAAGATTAATTTTGACCCTTTAAACTGCGTATTTGTAGATAAGCCGTCCAGATCTAGAATCTGGAAGTCCATCGAAGAGGTTCAGCAGAACCAGAAGTACAGTGCAGTGTTAAAAACTACCATGTTTAACTACCTATATTCCTCTTGTTTGTAGATTATAAATACATTACCATCCACATGCAACTGGCTCAAAAGTTATATTCTCGTACATTAGCCTATTATATATATAATAGACATACCCTGGTGATGGCTAGAAGATTGCATTGTCAAATGAAAACACGAATTTATTATTATTTTCTCGTTATTACTGAAACTAATTGTTATAATTTATTATGATAATCTACCTAAGCTATCCATGTCTCTACCTCGATAATAATTCTCTTCATTCGTAAACCGGTGATGCTTCTAGGGCCGTGTCAAGGAGGGGGAGGGGCTAACGGGGGTGTTTATTTGTTTCTCTCAACGATTACACTATTTAAAAAAAATACACATGGATATATAAGACATGTGTAAATATCTAATACATCACAGAAAGTGTTAATAAACAATAACGTAATATAACCATAACAAGAGTATTAAGAGATTTAAACGTAATAATAGTATAAATGCAACAATTTTCACTAAATACAAAAAATATAAGTCTTATCAATAATAACGATAACAAAATAACAGCAACAAAAACAAAAGGGTAAATATTTAAATGTAACTAATGACAGTGGCTCATGGCTAGACGGACATAAGAATATTTTTTTCAAACAAGAATCTGGCTGATCTTTAACCTGAAGACGTGAGTTGAAACGCCAAAAAAGTCGACATTACAGTAACTGTAACTTAGTTCCCTAGCCGGTGTAGACGAGGTATACCACTGTTGTATACATACTATGTTGGGAAGAACTGCCGTTTGAATAAGTTCTGGACAGTCTAGGAGGTCATTAACATCTTTGTAAAAGAAAGAGAAGATCCAGGAACTTGTGTGTAATCTGAAGAGGTTGAAGGTCAAATGTTATCTCCAGGTCACAAACTGGGGTTTGAGAGTATTGAAAGCCAAGTTTCAATCCCTGAACTGGTGCGTTCTTCACCAGGAGGAGTCCTGCGGAGGTGAATGTTGTATTTAAAACCGTTTGGTGACCTTTAATGCCATCTGTTACGTTTTGTGACGAAATTTATGTATAAACTTATATTTTCGGGGTCCAATGAGGTGGCTATAGCCCCTCCCCTTCTCTGATTAAAACCAAACAAGTACGTTAGTTAGTTTAGGAATTATTGCGAACACATTACGATTAGTTAAAAACAAGGTTTTACGACGTTTAGGGATCTGGAAGCTACTTCGGTCTCCTAGAGAGAAATTTTATTGAATTTAGTCTCATGCTTGCACTACGAGACAGTTCTTAGTGTGGTAATTATTTTGTCAGTAACTAGCTTTGGCTGTGTGTGTACTAACCTTTTTTAACTATTCCACGTGTGGAGGGGGGGTCAGATTTTTGATTCCGAAACGCCGTAAAACTTATTGTTACTAAGCGTGATATATAATTCAGGAAACAATACCTCGGATAACTTACCACCACAACAACTGGACATGAAACATATTAAAACAAACTTTTATAATTTTTTCTCATTTTATTATGATAAACATACTGTTATAACTTTCAAGTATTTATTGGTCAAGTTTTTTACCGATTACAATGACAGTTCTGAAAACGTGAGGGGTTTTTCGCCCAGATTGTGCTCTCTCTAGAGCAAAGCGCTTTTCTTCAACTTCGTTACTGACGAGATATGTGAGTCAGATGTAAATCAGATGTGTAGATAGACATAAGACCAAAAGAGCGCGTGAGAAGGTAAAAGTGTGAGAACAGAAGATTGCAAGCTCGCTAGGTGGGGGAGGGGAAGCCCTGACCCCCTGATACCCTGGCTAGTGATAACCATCACATCGGAGACTCAAGCCTAGTGGTTCAGCAATTAAAACTGAAACTGTTTCAAAACTACCGGGATGGGATTCCCCTATCAAAGTCCTAACAACCGTTCTTCGACGAATACAGTACCCTAAAGACGGATGATTCTTACATGTAGACAGATATTCTTACATGTAAGTGTTTCTGAACGCAGCTGCTGCAAGGTCCTGGTGGAATAGTAAATGGCAATATCCGTTTGGTAACCAGATCGCGTAGAAGTCGGCGTAAGAGAAACGTGGCAAACCCCTAAACCTTCCGCAAACGATTGTTTGTTAATTCCTAGATCCAGATAAGACCAAGACTACTTAATGGGGGGCTCCACCAACTAGGAAACAAGATCGGCTATGTTATCTGCACAAGTAATGAATGTCGAGGGCATTTACACATCCACATGGGCCATGTGATACCACTTTCTCCGAGTTTAGATTTGTCTCAATGAATTGTCGGAAACTGGATGCAAGCGAAGCGAGCCTGGGGCTACACCAACAACACCGACTCGCTTTCTCTGAACAAGGGTGAACGCCGTTGGACATTAGTTTAGGGCATCGTCCGTTACGATCTATCGCCGTCAGACGTTTGCAATCACTACAATCCCTATTTTCTAGATGATCTTTGAACCGCTGAGGGCTCCCGGCTTACTAACTAGTTCGACGGTTCGAGTGACTTATTTCAGTCGTTATGTGAACAATAGAATACACGTAACAAAAGCGCCGTCTAAAAAATTACGATCAGTTTGGAAATCGGAAGTCGGCCTGATTGGTTATTAGCTCTTGGTTTGCGCCCAGGGGCAAGGAACTCCAGAGCGGAAAATATGTAATATGTGATTTGAAACCTCTGTCACATTTCTCTAACATTTATTGATTCTCACCCCATTTCACAATACGCCTAATCTCCAGATATTTTATTAACATACAAATTGGTTTTCTCCCAATTCTCAAATTGGCTTATAGTTCACATGCATTAGGGTTACTTATCATGACAACATAAACTACGTGAATATACGATCCTCTATTATCTTACTGAGTATATAGATCTATGTTATTGACATGTACGCTCAATGTAATCTCAATGACACCCTTGCGACAATAATTATACAGTAGATACACATTCTGTATAAATCGTAGAACGGAAGTAGGTTCAGACCAACAAAATATTGATGCATTTATTCCTTACTTTTCAATCCAACGTATTAGAATCATTTGACAATTACATCAATATTGATTACTAGCTCAAAACAACCTCTTGATTGATTGATTCTGTAGGGGCGGACCTTGTCCTATTGCACGTCAGCCACTGATGGGCTTTTTGCGCTCCCCACATGGTACTTCAGAGTCCGTCAAACCTGAGTTGCTTAATGAACTCAAGCATCCTGTCAATGAGCTCCTCCTGAGGAAGGTGTCTGCCCCTTGTCATTACACCAAGAGTACTGTCCCTTACCTCATTCAGAGCTGTGCAGTCGTAGAGTAGGTGATCAGCAGTCTCCTCTGATTGCCCACATTTCCTACACGCAGTGTCACCATTGTGGATCCTCAAGCGATGCAGGTGTAATTTCAGAAAGCCATGTCCAGTGACCATTCCTGTGATCTGTCTGAGTCGCCTCCTGTCCAAGCGTAGGGCATTGGAGGCGACCGTCTGGGAAGGAGAGAAGAGGGTGAGCTTACTTACCCTATGGTGCTGAAGCCTAACCCATCTTTTCCTGTGTTCCTCCTGAGCCCATGCCATGACTGAGTGACATGCATGCCCACGAGAGATTCCACAGAAAGGCTGTGGTCCCACGAAGTCTGAGGCTGACGCGACATTTGCTAGCCTGTCAGCCACCTCATTCCCTTCTATCCCTGAGTGCCCAGGAACCCAACAGAGCGTTACCTTGTTGCGCCTGCCCAGGTCACATACCGCAGAAAGGCAGTCCCAGACCACCTTAGAATTAAATTCATAGGAATCAAGCGCTTTGAGCGCAGCCTGGCTGTCTGTGAAAATGGAAATGTTAATGTCCCTGAAGCCTAGCCTCAGGTTTTCCCTAGCACATACCATAATCGCAGTCATTTCGGCCTGGAACACAGTTGGGTGAGTGCCCATAGGAAGACAAATGTCCACCCCGTTCTGCACTCCATGAATTCCAGCCCCAGTCCCACTTCTTACCTTAGAACCATCAGTATACCATTCAAGGTCGCCTTGTGGAAGAGGATTCCCACCGGACATCCACTCATCCCGGGACGGAATGAGGACAGTGAATGGTCTGGCGAAGAAGAATCGAGTCGGCATGTGATCCGAGGGCATGTCCATTACCTCCCCTCTTACCTGCTGAGTGATCCGAGAGTGACCTCGGGATCCTCCAACATCCAACCAAAGGTTTTCACACTGGAGTCTGTAGGCAGTCCTCCTCGCAGTGACCTTGACATGCAGGTCAATCGGAGTGAGGTTGAGAAGGCAGTCCAGTGAGGCTCCCGGACAGCTGCTCATTGCGCCCGTGATGATGAGACAGGCGAGTCTTTGGACGGCAGCCAGATCTCTCACCGCCGACACTGAGTCCATCTTGGGCCACCACACGAGTGAGCCGTATGTCATGGCGGGCCTTACCACGGAGACAAATAGCCAGTGCATGAGCGCCGGCTTGAGCCCCCAGGTTCCTCCCACCATGCGTCTGCAGGCCATGAGTGACCACTTACCTCGATCAATGACCTTTTGGAGTTGTGGCCCCCATTGCAGCTTTCGGTCC